GACTCGCTGCCAATGCACCAAGTCACCAACGCACTTCACATGGTGCACCGTCCTCCCGCGCGCCACAATGCGTCACCCTACCCCACCCACCTGCGACGATATGGCCTGACTCATGCACGAGCACGCGCTCGCGGAAGGGCGCCCAGAGCAGCATGAGCACCTGCCCGCCTCCCGCCCCCCCCAGGTACACCGCGTCTCCCACGGCGAGGGCGAGCGAGATGAAGGCGAGCGGGCGCAGGTCCACCCCCGCATCCACGAGCGCTGAGAAGGCTGCGAAGAGCGCGATTGGGAGCAGCGGGGCCGACATTCCCCACTTCTGGGGGGCTAGGTTCTTGGCTGGGGGGAGGAGGGAGACGATGAAAGCAGGGTTGAGTTGCGTGCAAAGAAAGGGGAGGGAGAGGCAGTTTGGCAGATGAGAGGGTGAGGGGGAGAAGGATATGGGGGGAGAGAGAAACGTGGAAAAGGAAGGAGGGTGGCGAGCAGGCGAGTCGAAGCAGAGGACCAAGCGTGAGAGCGAGGACGAGAGGGAGAGAGAGGCGGGGAGAGAGGGCAACGTGTGAACTAACCGTCGAGGCCCGAGCGGTCTTTGAGCACCTTGGGAGTGACGACCCGTGGCACGCCCTCCAATACTGTGGCGCCACGTGGGGGGACAAGGAGGGGGCAGTGTGGGCACGGGCGAGAATGAAAAGAGGGCATTAGGGAAGCGTGGTGGCAGTGGCAGCGCGGGCCAGCAAGAACCGGCTGGAGGCACGGCTCTCAGCACAGCTCACTGCACTCATCTCTCCCCTCCCGTCGCTCTCTGTCCCCGCCGCCGTCACGCACTGCTGTTTTGGAAGCGGCCAAAGTTTCTGAGAAGCCCCTGGGAGCGCAGCCACTCGTACGTCTGCCCCACCACGCGCAGGTCGCTCTCCGCCTTCCCCGCCTCCAGCAGCTCCAGCCACCGCCGCTGCCGCTCCGCCTCCTCCTCCGCCTCCTCCCCCAGCGCTCCCCCCTTCCCCGCAGGCCCCCCTTCGATCTGCGCCTGCCCTGGTCCCCCTGCACTCACTATCCCTGCGGTTTCCACGGGTAAATCCAAGAATTCGGCGGTTCCCGTGGCAGCTTCGTCTGTCGTCTTCTGCGGGGCTAAAGCGGTGGCGATGGATAGCGCGCGTGGAAGGTCTTTGTCGTGTAGCGCCATGTCATATTCCAGCCACGTGGGAGCTGGCTCGACACTCGGAGTCGTGGGGGAAGGCCCGGCGGCGGGAAGCGGGAATTCACTCAGAGTCTCCGCTTGCGCTTCAGGGGGGGAGTCTAGCGACGATCGCGGCGCGAACTGCGCGCGTTTGTGTCTATCAGAAAAAGAGCGCCGTTTTAAAAGGGACCGGCCATTGCGAATTAGAAGGGTGTGTGAAGAGGAGAGCAAGGCGGGTCCCGCCCCCACGCGACTTCCGCGCGCAGGTAAGGGGCATGTGGCAGGAAGGCGAGAGGGGAGACATGCGCGCGAAGGGGCTGTGGCGCAGGGCAGGTGCGCACGCAGCAATGGGCCCATTGGGTCCGAATGGCGGCGACGCGGTGAACGCAGTGAATGGAATAACGCGCGAGACGCGTGTGGGGCGGCGGAGTGCGCGACACGCTGCGGATATGGCGTGAGTGAGAAAGGGCGCAACGACGGCCGAAACGGAATGATAGGCGTGTAGAGAGGAAGAGGGGGAGAGCAAGGGAGCAAACGTGGAGGGGGGCGAATGTGGAAGGAATTTCAGGCGAGCTGCATTGTACGCGTTAGAGTCATTTCACTTTCCACTCGAACATTCCATTCCAGTTTTTTTCTGAGTGCATTTCGAAGTTGTCAGGGATTGCCAGGTGGGAAGGGTAGTGCTTCTGGTGCGAAAAAACAATCCAGGGCGAAACGGTTGTATCGCCAACTGTCCCATCGCTCCAGAAACAGACTTCGCCGTTTCGCGAAATACATCTGCGAGCCGTGCCCCTCCTCCCACTGACCCATGCACCAGAGCTGCCCCATTTGTGCACCAAGCACTTCCCCGACCAGCCTTTCTTTTTCGACGATTCCACCAGATTTAGGGTTCTTGTCGAAGGGTTTTGCTGGTTTTAGTCGAGCATATCAGTTATCCACTCGCCCTGACCTGATTGCTCCAATCCCAAGTCGTGCAAGGTTCACGAATAAGCTCCTTACCACCTTGCATTACGCGTGCTGAGGAGTTACGATGGCGTCGATAAAGGCGCACAGTAGCAGATCTCGCAGACCCCGCCTGATCGCCTTCAATGCCGACGGCTCTCGTCTCGCCACGTGTATGGCGGACAACCGTCTTAAGGTCTGGGACGCTGTTGCCGGCAGGCTGCTCGTCGAGTGTGCTGACGTGGCGAACCGGGTGTCAGCAGACGGGGACATTCTCCCGCTCGGCGCAGGCGCAGAGGAGGGCGCGCGCGGACACCTGGAGCTGCGCTACTCGTGCATGACGTGGGCGGAGCGCGCGCGGGGTTCGGGGGAAGGTAAGGCGGGGAAGGCGGGGAAGAAAGGCAAGGGCGCGGCTGGCGCGCAGGCGGACGCGTTAGTGGTGCTGGGCACGGCGTATGGTGACGTCATCGCGTGGGACGTGGTGATGGGCGCCGTGGCGTGGCGCCAGGCCTCCGTAGATCCCGCCGGCATCGTCTCGCTCGCCTTCCTCCCCGCCACCGCCGCGGCGCCGCCCATCGTGTTCGCGGCCGGCACGGACGGTTACATTAGCGAGCTGAGCACGGCGGACGGCGCGGTGCTGTCGCGGTTCCGCGTGTCCAAATCGCCCGTTTCGAGCATAGCGGTGAGGGCGGGGGCTGAAGGGGGCGCGCCGCCGCTGCTCATGGTGGGCAGCTCGCAGCTGACTCTTTTCGATGCGGGCAGCAAAGAAAAGATTCGCAAGTTTTCCGGGCACCCGGAAAAGGTTTCTTCGATTGCGTTCTCGCCTTCTTCGAGCTTCGCTTTCAGCGCCGCGGAAGGCGACAGACACGTGGCCGTGTGGAATTTCTCCGAGGATTTCGAGAAGCGCAAGGCATTCGCTGTGCTGTCGCTGCCCGAGCCGCCCGAATTCGTGGCGTGCGCGATGGGGGGCGGCGGCAGCGATTCGGGGTTTCGGGTTTTGGCGCTGACCACGGAGGGCGAGGCGTATGTATGGGCGGGGGCAACAATCCCTGCGCTTGCGCGCGCGCAGCCTGTGGTGGTGAAGGGGGAGCGCGTAGTGAAAGGCGCGGGGCAGGGGCAGGTGCGACAGGGGCAGAAGGGGAGAGAGGCGATACTGGCGGCGCACCTGCCGGAGGACGCCTTGGGATCGCCGATGCTTGTAGCGCGTGGCATTCTAGCGAGGCCGCAGTTCGAGAACGTTAGCTTGGACGAGGCGCAGGAGGGCAACGAGGGCGAGCCGCGTGTCGTTCTGCTGAGCGCACCCGACGCGACGGATTTGCTGCCCGCGGGGGGAACGAGTGTTCGGGCGGACGGGGGTGAGGGGCACGGGGAGGTGGATGAACAGGCGGAAGGCTCCGCGCGCGGCAAGGCGGGCAAAAAGGGGGGGAAGAAGGGAAGAGCTGGGGAGGCGGAAGACACAGGCGGAGTGCAGGTGGTGGGGGGCATGCCCATGCAGGCGACCGTGCTGCGCGCGAGCCTCGCGGAGGCGGAGGGGGACGGGGAGGGGAAGAAGGAGCGGAAGAAGAAGAACAAGCGCAAGGCAGCAGAGGAGCAGGCGGCGGCGCTGCTGCCCGCCGCGGACGCGGCCATGGCGGGCCCAGGCGAGGGGATGGAGGGCGTGAGAGGGGGAGCGGAGAAGACAATAGAGGAGCAGCTCAAGGAGCTCGGCATCTCCCCCTCCGGCCACTCCCTCGCCCCATCCGCCGCCAAAAAGCCCCACTCCTCCGCACTGGTACCCAGCAAGGGGGGCGCGTGCGCAGAGACAATGGAGGTGCTGGCAGCGCCGCGGGCGGAGTCGCTATCAGTGGTGGTGCAGCAGGCGCTGGAGGCGGGGGACATGCCGCTGCTGCGCCAGTGCTTCGAGGCCGCCATGACGGTGCGCCGCCGCGCCCTCATCCTCCCCACCGTGCGCCACCTGCCCCCGCACCTGGCGCTCAAGCTCGTGGAGGTGGTGGCGGCGCGCGTGCAGGAGCACCCGGGGGAGGCGCTATCCATGGTGCCGTGGATGCAGGCCGCGCTGACGTGTCATGCGGGCATGCTAGCGTCGGCGCCGGCAGCACACAAGGCGCTGGCGGCGCTGTATCAGACGGTGGAGGCGCGGGTTGCTGCGCTGCGACCCATGCTTGAGCTGGCTGGGCGGCTGCAGCTCGTGGTGATGGCTGTCAGGGAGACCCGGGGAGAGGAGGGCGCGCGTGGGGAGGGGGTTGCGGGGGGTAGGGGTGGTGGGGGGTATGAGAGGGAGGGGGCGGGTGGAGGAGTGCGGGCGGCGACGGTGTATGAGGAGGGGGATGATAGTGATGTGGAGGTGGAGGATGCGACTGGTGTGGAGGAGGGGTTGTTTGGGGCCGAGGGGTGGGTGGATGAGGAGGAGGAGGATGAGGATGATGAGGAGGGGAGTGAGGAGTATGAGGAGGAAGAGGAGAGGTTTGTGGAGGATGAGGAGGGGGATTTGATGGAGGGGGATGAGGAGGGCGAGGGTGAGGATGATGAGTGACGGATGTGGTTCTTCCAGCTCCCTTAGTGCGGTGTTGCTGGAGTTGCTTTCCTGTTTAATTTTGTAGCCTAATTTTTAAATGCAGTCCAGTTGTCAAGTCGTCATTGAAAAACGTCCTGCTTGAGAGATTGGCGAACTTTACAAGCTGGTTTGAACTCTTGCATTGAAACCACCTTGTGGAGAGAAAATAAGTACAAGTCAGGAGACAGGTACGGTAATGAACAAGCACAATTCTTTAGAGAGACCAGGCAGACTAACCCCTTGGAGTGCTAGCATCAGTATTCAGACAGCAGTGGCAGCAAGCATGCGGTCGTCCCAGTACATAAAGGCCACGCATTACGATTGACGGTCACATCACAGGAACCCAAGGTTGATGGTGTCTTTAACGATGAGGAAGATGCCAGCGCCCAGCAGCGCCAGAAAGCCCGACGACATGATGCCACGCTCCACATCCTCGGGGATCTTCTTCCCTCCCCGCACCGCCTCCACCGCCAGCAGCGCCAGGTACCCCCCGTCCAGCGCCGGCAGCGGCAGCAGATTCACCACCGCCAGGTTCAGATTCACTATAGCCGCGAACTGGAACAGCCCGGAGATGTTGGTTCTCGCCACCTCCGCCCCCACTGCCACGATGGCCACGGGACCCGACACGCGGTCGGCCGTGTTGCCGAAGTTGAAGATGATCTGCTGCAGCCCGTCGGTCACCGCGCCCATGAGGCGCCCGAACTCCCTTCCAGCTGCCACTGTGCCGTCCAGCAGGGTGTCGGCGCGCTCCTGCTCCTGGTAGGAGTTGGGCGCCAGCTGCACGCCGATGCGCCCCCCACCGTCCCGGAACGACACGTCCGGCACCACCCTGATGCTCACCACACGCTTCTCTCCCGCTTCTGCCGCTGCTCCTGCCGCATCGCCCCCTACTGCCACACTCGCCCCGGTTAGCTCCCCTTCCACCCCGCCGCTGAGAGGCGGGGCCTGCACGGAGCGGAGCACGTCGAGGGTGATGGGGCGGCCGGGCGAGGCGCGGATGTAGCTCACGAGGTCGGAGACGGCGGTGCTGGACGGCTGTAGCGGTGTGCCGTCTGCCGCCACTATGAGGTCGCCTGGCAGCAGCCCTGCCCTCTCGCCTGCTGACCCGTACACCACGTCTGGTACCACCACTCCCGGCAGGTATACCTGCTGGATCAGACCCACTGTGTTCACCTGCCGGGAGGGGGGGGAAGGAAGGAAGCGGGGAAAGTGTGTGAGAGAGAGCAGCGCTATGTTGATGAAAGGGATGGTGGTGAAGAGCAGAGCTATGTCAATGCTCTGTCTATGCCGAAACCTTCAGTCAGGCCATCACCATACCAGCACAGTGCATCACGCACCGACATGCACTGCTAACGCCAAATATTTGCTGTTCCACGCTGCAGCACGCACCTGGGTGAAGAGCAGCGCATAGGCGAACACGATATTGGCAATCACCCCGGCGCTGATGACAAACGCCCTGTCAGCGGGGGGGCGGTTCTTGAGCAGGTCGGGGTCGTCAGGCGGGTACACCGCCTCCTCACTCGGGTCATCGTCCGGGAAGCCCACAAACCCGCCGAGGGGGAACGCCCTCAGCGCATACTCCACGCCCTTCTCGGTGGTTCCGTCCTTGCCCTTGCCCTGGTACTTGGCGAGAACAGGGCCGAAGCCGATGGAGAATTTCGTGACGTGCACGCCGAGCGAGCGCGCCGCTAGGAAGTGGCCTGCCTCGTGCACGGCCACTATGAGCGCCAGCACGCCCACTGCCTGTACGACCGAGCCCGGGCCCGACAGGTCGAAGGCGCCCGTGAGCGGCGAGAAGGCGAGGAACGCCGCGGAGAGGAGCGCCGTGGAGGCAGGGAGGAGTGATGGTACGGCGGATGGTGCTGGTGCTGCAGGGGTGGGGTTGACGGGGAATTGGGGAGGGACGGTGGAGAGGGATGGTGGGAAGGTAAGGTGGGGAAATGGGAAGGGGGGGAGGGGGGGAATTGAGAAGGTTAGGGAAGAAAGTGGGGTCAGGATGGAGGAGGGAAGGACAAGCATGAACTGGCTTCTACTTGATTAGGCTTCATTGGTGGAAAACTGCGGACTGATGGTGTTCTGCTGCGGTTTGTATCATTCCATTCCACTGAGGCGCGACGACAGCAGCACGGCAGTGGTACGCGAACCTAAGGCGCAAGGAAGTCAAGCGGCAGCCTCCAAGTCCCCTCAGAACAGTCCGCCCATTCGTGCACGCCTCATCTGCCGACTGTGACTCACTGAGAATTTGTTGCCATTTAGTTTTTATCACCATTCAAGAGGCCCTCCTGTCGCCCCGCCTTGGCTCGACAGAGCAAATTTCCACCCGGCAGCTCTAATTAGCGGCAGCGCGCTTCTCACCTGATTCAACGCCGCGCGAATCCGCGACAGCGGACTCCGCAGCCTCGTCTGCGGCGCTTCCCTCCGCCTCTGCTCGCCGCGCCTCTACTCGCCCCTCCTCCGCACACTCGTGGCTGCTGCTCCCCCTGGACTCCGCGCATACCCGCTGTAAGCCGCTGCGATACGACGCGGGGAACGACGGCCGGGAAACGAAGGCTTTCGGTCGACGTGGTAGCAACGCCACTGCCCGCGGTCTTAAGCACGAGAGTGTCTGGACGGGGTAGGGCAACAAGCGAGACCGTCGACGCCGCATGAATGGTAAACATATTGATTTGAGAAATCGCGCCAGGCGATAAGGGTAGGTGAAGTCTAGGGTTGATTCTTTTTAGTCCATTCCGGCTCTAACTGAGGCTCTTGGTCAATTCTAGTCGCACCTGAATTGACGCATGCTCGACGAGAATCGAGCGTGGAATTCGCAACCCCGTGGAAGCGACTCGGAGAGTCGACATGAACGGCAGGCCTCGGGCGGGTTTGACAGAGAACGGCAGAACCTCCCGCTCTCGCTGACGCAGGACGATTGAGACGGACTGAAACGGGCGTGGTGCTGGGAGAGCACGTCGAGTTGAGTTGAGAAACGGAGAACAGCAAGTGGAGAAGTGGTGATGCTAGCTTGGAGTTCGCAAGTGATAGCTCCCCAAGGTGTTTCGGATCCTTGTGGGACCCCAGGCTTGATAACTGGAGTCTGGGAGAAGGCAGGCAGTCAGGGCACGAGGGAAGGACTCCTTGGGAATGTCGGTCATCGTCGTCACTGGCTCAGAGCCTCGTCGACGAGGAGCGCGGGAAACATGGCTGGTATCGAACCACGTGGCGCTCTGCACCTTGCCTGACTTTTAACGCGCGTCAGAGTGCAGCAGTCTTGTTTGAACGCAGAAGTAGAAATTATCCATTACAGCTAATGAGGTACATTCACAGCTAGTATACTTGCCTATATGAGGTGAGGACTGCTCTTGCATCTAAGCTGGTTTGCATACTACAAGCCTAAACTGCATTTGGTCTGAACACACTAGGAGCTTTGAGACTGCCTCTTTTGCACTACCGAGTCTGAGGAGGAACCATCCTTTATGAGCCCCTCCTCTTCATCCAATTGAGCAGCCTTTCTTGCAGCATCCTTGGACTTCATTTCCTGCTCACACCACCACCCAGCACACGCCATGCAAAAGGTGTTATATGCCATAGACTCAAACAAAAGAAACTCATTTCGGTGCACCAGCTGACTTACTTGCAATTTGGAGTGGTTATACCAGCAAACTCCACCAAACGCCAGAAGATACCCCAACAAGTTGATGGCAGTTACCCTATCCTTGATGACGGACCAGGAAAAGGCAATTAGTAGCCAGTCCTTCACCACCCCTGCAGGGCAAGAATCCAGCACAGGCCAACAATCAGGCATTTTGACAACAAAACCTGCAGGGTCACATCCGAACCCCGCAATCTCTGATGACACATACAAGCAAGGGCAACACAATTACAGACCTGCCACGTTCATGGTGAGAGCTGACGTCTTGCCGATGAGCAGGAAGACAGCGAGGTTGAGGGCGAAGGCGCACACACAGTTGCCCCCAAACACCAGCAGGTCGGGGTGGGGCGCGACGAGGTGCGGGGCGAGGGAGGGGTACTCAACGAAGAACCAGGGGATGGTGAGGAAGACGAGGCACGTGGGGGACACGTAGTAGAGGCTCGTGATGGGGTTCAGGGAGATGCCCTTGGATGCCAACAGAATCTGCAGAGGCGGAGTGGGATGAAAGGGGAGTGATGAGCTGAGACTGCGAAGACATCAGGGGGGCGTGGTGTATTGGGGTGAGGCGCTTCAGAAAACCAGGCTATCAGCTGCTTTCCTGGGCGTTGAATGTTTGGTCAAGGCACACCATGAGATGAATTCGTGAACGGGTGGTGTGGTAACTAGTAACCAACCACACTGACAAGGTCAAGGCTGCAGGAGCGGAGAGGCGTACCTGGATGAGCACGAGGCGAGTGGCCTCAAAGGCGACAGCAGCCAGCTGCAGGAGGACGCCTGTGAAGTTGAAGTTGGCCTCGCCGTACGCCGCTATGCCCACGCCCACCGACACGAGCAGCATGTTGCTCATGGTGGAGCAGCGGAAGGCGTCCTTCTGAAACGCCACTCCCAGCGTGTACACCGCCACTGGCATCAGCGCCTTCAGCATCTGGTCGTGGGGGCGCGGATGGACAGGGTTGGGGATGCCGAGGACGGGAGGGGCATGGAGAGAGATGGAGGGACATGGAAGAAGAGGGAGAGGCATGAGGACAAAGAAAAGGCAGGATACATGTAACTAATCAGTGGGCGAGGACCCCAGAATAACAGCACTACGTTGTTCTTGGTGAAACAGGACGGAAGTTCGGCGGTAATAAAGGAAGGAGAGCAGGCAGACGAGCTGTGTTAAGTGATAGGACGGACGGCATTAGGCACGCATTCCGCGGGCAACACCGCGGCAGCAGAGGAAAGCGACAAGTACAGCACAATTCAACCAGGAGTAAGGAGAGAGGGTCGTACCTGGATGAAGGAGACGGAGAGGTAGATGTAGGCGGAGTTGGAGAACCAGAGGCTCATGGCGTAGAGCGCGCCGATGGGCAGCACGGAGGAGACGTACATCTCGAGGCTCATGGCCACCGGCTCCACCACGCGCACCACGCGCACCAGCACGAACGCCAGCGACGAGCAGAACGCCATGTGGATCATCGTCAGACTGGATGGGGGCGCGGGAGGCGGGAAAGGGACGGGGAGAAGCGGGAGGAGGGTGGGGAGAAGGGGAGTCCAACACGGCGCTTGCACGGGGAGGTGAGTAGAGCAGGCGGTTGACGCGCAAAACTTGGAACTCTGGACGTTCTGTTAGAATTCGACGTGGATCACGAGGCAGCTCCCAGGGGCTCACCTGATGGGATATGGCCAGTTGTACATCTTCCTGTCCAGGATGTACTTATTGAATATAATGACGGAGAAGCTTAAAACGATCCATGTCGCCACGTAAAAGTAGCTCAGTATAATTCTCCGCAACAAAGGACTAAGGAACGCCATGGCGCGATTAGTTTGAGAAGCGAAGGTAACGAAAACGCAACAGCACCAGAGAATAGAAGTTTGCAAGCGCACTAGTGCCTGCTCGCGATGTGCTGATCTCTGTGCGATTTGGCTTGCTGAGTGTCGGCGGGCAGAATCCAGCAATCGCGATCACTGGGTCTCTAAGAGCGTCTGGGACTCGCTACTCGTGCACAGGAATTGCTGGAACGGGGTTCTCTGCATCGCTCCTTGATTCATCAGCTGCTGTGAACCTTACAAGCAACCTCGGCAATTCCAAACAGCTCATGGAAATCTTCGAATGGCCATGCTCGTATGCCGGCGCGTGTGACTGCGTGAATAGACAGCTGACAACAGGACCTGGCTGTCTGAAGTGTCCTGCTATAATCTCTAGGGACCTGTGACTGTGCCTGCTTGGTGTACTGAAAGCATCAGGCGATATCGGAATTACTGTATTCTTATGGGCTATCACAATCCATGCACTGTGCATTTCTAGATTGGGAACCCTTTTGTAACCAGCTATCACAAAAGTTCTGACACCTGACGGATTCGTTGACTTTCGTGAGGAAAATTTCCCCTCGTCTGTGCTGTGCTTGGGTGACCTCAACATCGAAACAAAAACCCTTTGTAACCAGGCATCACGAAAGTCCTGACACCCTCGGACCAGAATCGTGGCATTCTGGAGTAGAGTCCTCCTGGCATTCATCAGCTCATCAAGACATGCCTTTCGGACAGCGTGATGATTTGCAGTCAGCGTGATCAAGGGCCACTGCGTTAGTGTTCCTGTTGCTTCTTGATCATCTAGAGACTAAGCGAGGTTCACGCGGTTACGGCGGAGTCTTGCTTCCGTCTGACCATTAGCCATCATGAATCCACTAACGCAGATCAAGAACACGCAGAAAATAACAGCGCGAGAGACAGCTAGAGGGGTATCGGACGAAGCGTCATGGCACGCCAAGTACAAGGAGTCCGCGTATGTCTTCGTCGGCGGCCTTCCGTACGACCTCACTGAGGGGGACCTCCTTGCAGTCTTTGCCCAGTAAGACCCACCCATAGTTCCCCTTTTTCCACTCCGGTGTCATGGTTCCGCGTGCACGGCTCGCTGTAATGCAGTGTATGAAGTTGCGCTGGTCCATTCTATATGGATGTCAATCTTCTTCGACCAACTGCCTTCTTTCTTACTCTCCCATTCCGTTCTCCTTCGCATTCTTTCCTCTTCCCCCTTACCCGTCCCGTCCCACGTGGCTAGGTGCGGTGAAATAATGGATGTGAATCTGGTGCGGGACAAGTCCACCGGCAAGTCCAAGGGCTTCGCGTTTCTGGCGTACGAGGACCAGCGCAGCACCATCCTCGCTGTCGGTGCGTTCCTTCGAATCATGGCCCTGGGTGTATCCTGTTGATGCCTTAGTGTGACCAGCTCGGATCAAATTCATCAACTCTCTCACAGCATCAGCAATTCAGCTATGATTGCTAGGAAATTCTGGACTGGACTTCGAACGTTTGATTCGCTCCAACTCGTTCTCCCCATCCCAACCGCCCCCGTCCACCCTTCCTCTCGCTCCTCTCTCCTCCATTGTGCAGACAACCTGAACGGCGCTAAGGTTGCGGGGCGGATAGTAAGGGTGGACCACGTGGCGGACTACAAGCGGATAGCCAAGGAGGATGAGGAGGAGCGGGAGAAGCGCCGGGAGGAGAATGGAGTCTGCTATGCGTTCCAGAGGGGGGAGTGCTCCCGAGGAGACAACTGCCGATTCTCCCATGATGCCCAGGTAGAGTTCGCCTGCACACCAGAAAGACTCTCACTCGGTACTTTCAAACTAAGGCTTTATCTGATCCCCAACTCAAACGAAGTTTGGCGTTCCCTCTTTCTGTCTTCCCCACCACCAGAGAAACGCTGACACGGGATGGGGCGGGAAGGAGGGCATGGAACGGGGAACAGAGAGCCGCAGCAGGGCGAATTTTGAGCAGCGCGAAGAGCGACAGAATGGTGGGAGGGGCGGTGGTGGGAGGCCAGGCGGGGGAAGAGGGGAGGGGAGGGAGAGAAATGGGGAGGGTGGCGATGATGGAACCCAGAGTTGGGCGAAAGAGGAAGTTCCTGGACAGAGAGGGCAATTCGAGGATGTGAAGGGTGGAGGGGAAGGTGTCAGGGGGAGAGAAGGTGATAGGAGAGAGGAGGGAAGGCACAAGGTGCGACAGACTGGGAAGGGAGGGGGTGAGAGGAAGGATGGGCATGCATTGAGGAAGAGTACGATCGAGCGCAACGAGGGGTTTAGGAACGAAACAAAGGAGGGGGGAGATGACAGGCTGAGAGGAGAGGAGGACGAAGGAAGGGGTAACGATGAGTGGAGGAAGGTCAGAAGCAGGGAAGGTGGCGAGAGGCATGGGAAGCGGGAAGAGAGGGGTAAGGATGATATAGAAGAGAGGAGAGGTGCAAGACGGGAGTTGGAGGAAAAACGAGAGAGGTTGAAGGGCAGTGATGACAAGCACAAGCGGCCAAGGGAGGAGGATGAGGTCGAGAGGCCAAAGCGCGGGAGTGATGAAGACAGAAGGCGGAGGAAAGGGGATAAGGAGTATCGTAGGTGACTGGAATTCACAGATTGTGGCAGGACGCCAGTGACCAGTCTCCTTTGTGGTCAAGCTGGTGAGGACACAATGATTAGTAACCATCTCCAAAAGTTATTCTGGTAGATTCGCTGTTCATAATGTGACATAACCTGCAGCCTTTGTTGGATGCAGGTTCTTTAGCACCTTCACTCCCTCCGTTTCTCCGAGTCAAACTCATAGGCATTCGAATGTCACCAGCCACTGCCATGGAGTCCAAAAATGAAGCACTACCCCAACCAGATGCACTATAGGCATCAAGCTTCAAGACATACGGACATGAATAGACTTTCAGCACTCAAATTCTGCATACAACGAAATGGTAAGAGCACCAGTTTGAGCCAGCACTGCAAGCCACCAGTTGACAAGGCAACAGCATGTGGCAACGCCATATCATCTTCTTATCCCCGCCAGCATCGGGCAGCTCTTAACCAAAGCACTGTTCCCCGGGCACGGGAGGCGGAATGTATCCATAGTCCAGCAGCTGCAGCCCGAACACCACCACGGCCGCCAGCAGCGTCAGGTACGCGAGCCCCTCCGCCGCCCCCAGCAGCCCGTAGGGTCCGTTGGGCAGCCCCTTGCCGGTGGAGACCTTGGTGTACGCGGACCAGCCCACGAGCCCCACTATCGCCAGGTACGCCACGCCCTCCAGCGCGCCCAAACTGCCGCCTGGCCCCGGGGGCAGCCCGCAGCCTGCAGGGAGAGGGAAGGGTTTTGTTGAAAGCGGAGTGGGGGGGTCAGTGACTTTGCGAAGAGGTGTGGGGTGAGCGCGGGGAATTTTTAAGGAAGGCGGCAGGCCGTTGGAGTCGCATGGGAGGCGAAGATGGGTTTCGTTATCGCGCATGTCAATTGGATGTTGGCAATGGAGGCAATGTAAGCGTAGTGACGGCGGAAGTGGCGGGAATGGTGGCGCTCACCGGTGGTCTTGAGGGTGAAGAGCGACCACGCAACCACGGGAACGGAAATCAGCCCGCTCACAGCCCCCACGATCTCCGCCGTGCTGCTCCCCTCATCGCTCGCCTTCGCGCGAACAAGCGTGCGTTGAACGCGGGGAAGAGCGCGCGAAGCAGTAACTCGCGCATAGAGCGCGGGGGTTGCGCGGGTACGCGCGGACGAGAGGGCCGCGGGGATGGCAGCCGTTGAGCGCAGGGGGAGCGCAACAGCCGCTGAGGTGAGCATTGCGGAAGCCATGGTGAAAATGTGCAACAGAAGTTCCATTGTGGCAGGTGAAGTTGGTGTAAAACTAGAAAGAGAAGTATATAGTACAAGTTACTTAAGTGCAACAGCTCTCGTAGCTCAGTTGGTTAGAGCATATGGCTGTTAACCATAAGGTCGGTGGTTAAGCCCACCTGGGAGCGAAGTCTTGCTTCTGCAGGACCTTTTGGTTGACGTCTTGTTTTGTTCCAATTTCTCTGTACACTTGTCCCTGTTTCGTCATCCCCTTCACCCCATTTGAAGTCATTCCTCTCGTTTTCTCCCGCTTTTCTTCTCGTGCCCCTTACGATACCTTGACCTCGATCCGCTCGCTTCGACGCTGATCGGCAGCTCAACGCGAGGCGGTAGGCCAATGCTTGCGGGAAACGACTAGCTACGACTCCAACGACGAATGATTGGTCGATCAACGGTCGATTCGTAACCTGGATTATTTTCTGGGAGAGTAGATCGAGTGATTTTGTGGGCGTGTAGGTAAACGGCAGCAGCACGCGATGACGACGCGGATCACGCCAGGGGTGGGCGCGAACCTGATCGGGCAGCACGCGCAGGAGCGCAACCAAGACGCCACCGCCTATGTCGGCAACCTCGACCCGCAGGTGCGCTGCGCTCGTGTGCCTCGCAGCGCGCTTAGTGCTGTCAGTGCGTTAACAGCATTCGGCTGCGTCCGCGTGGTTGTGGGTCATCGTTCGCATGTCATGCATACAGCCATCCCGCGTTTGCTTACGGCAATACCTCCCTCCCTGCAACCCTCACGCTGTTCATTCTTGACCTACCCCTTTACCTTCCCTCCCCTACCCCTGTGACCCTTGTCCCCCCACCCTGTGCCCTTGACCCCGCCACGCTCCCCTCATGCTCCACCGTTTCCCCCATTTATCTCCCCCCACGTCTCCCCTCTTTCCCCTCTCTGCCAATTGCCCCCCGTGCCCCACCCCTTTTCCCCCTGTGCTCGATGCGAAGTCCTTGATCCCCCTATGCTCCGCCTCTTCCCTTGGTGCACCTTTCCCCCAAACACTCCCCCTCATTCGTCCCTGTTCCATTTGGCCCTCCCCATGCCCCCCCTCTTTCTCCCCTGTGCCCCTTTCCCCCATGCTCCCCTTCTCTCCCCTCTGTGCCGCTTTCGGCCCATGCTCCCCCTCTTTTCCCCCCTGCCCCTTTCCCCCCATGCTCCCCTTCTTTCCCCCCTATGCCCCTTTCCCCCTATGCTCCCCTCCTTCTCCCTGTGCCCCTTTCCTCCCATGCTCCCCCTATGCTCCCCGTCACGCCACGCCCCACGCCACAGATGTCGGAGGAGGTCATCTGGGAGCTCTTCGTGCAGGCGGGGCCTGTCGGTGAGCTAAGGGGTTGCAGGGGGGGTGGGGGACGGGCTGGGGGCTGTTGGGAGGAGTGTGGAGGGGTCAACAATCTGTTGGAAAGGGGCTGAGAAGTCTGGTGGTTTTATTCCATCTCATGTGGCACACATGGCTTATCCCACTCCTGCACTCCTTTCTTGTCTTGCCTATCTCTGCTCCTCATTTTTTCTCCATGTCTCCCCGCACCCTTACTCGTCATGTCAACCTGCTTCCCAGTCCCATTGCCATCCCCTCTCCCGCTCTCCTCTTTCCTCACTCCTCTCCCAGGTGCCTCATGCATGCACGCACCGCATTTCCCCCCCTCTCCAAATCGTCTTGTCCCCCTCGTCCCCCCCTTCCGCCTCGTCCCCCCCTTTCCCCCCGTCCCCCCGTCCCCTCCACTCCGCCGCGCCCGCAGTGAACGTGTATGTGCCCAAGGATCGAGTGACGGGGCAGCACCAGGGGTACGGCTTTGTGGAGTTCCGCTCCGAAGAGGATGCCGACTATGTGCGTGCGGGGCGGGGCTTTCATGAGTGGGGGGGAGATGCGTGGTGGTGTGGTGACTGGGGGGATTTTTGTGTAATGAGTTGTGGGGTGTTGGCTTGTCAGTGGTTTTCTGCGTTGTGAGTGGGAAGGTGGTGACTTGTCGGCTCACACACACTCACCTCTCACACACACTCACCGCTCACACACACGCACCCTCACAGTCACCATTCACACATACTCACCACTCACACTTACCAGTCACAGGACACTCACACACACAGTACTACTCACCATTCACACTCACACGTACACTCACCACGAACACCCATAACCGCGCTCACTCACACTCACCGTTCACACTCAGACTAACCCTCAGACTCCGCACTCACACCCACACTCGCCACTCACACTCACCGTCGTCACCACTCACAATCATACTCATCGCTCACCCAGACTTACCACTGCTAACTCAAAGTCAGCACTCACACTCACCACTCACACTCTCCATCACACTCACACCCTCACACTCGCCACTCGCACACACTCACTGTCACGCCCGTTACTCTCACGCCCTCTGCAGGCGGTGAAGGTGCTGAACATGGTGAAGGTGTTTGGGCGCCCCATGCGCGTCAACAAGGCCAGCCAGGATCGCCGCACCGTGGACGTTGGTGCCAACCTCTTCATCGGCAACCTGGATCCCGTGAGACTCGGCTTGACCCTTTGAGACTCAAATTTCTCCCATGTGACTTGTATCCACCCTATAAGGTTCGCAGGATCTTGTGAGACTTGGGGTGACCCCATGAGACTCCCATCTGCCCCGTCAGTCTCCCACCTACTCCGTGTACCTCCTTCCAGGTTCCCCATACAACACAATTACTCCTGCTCGTGTATCGATTTCCTTTACACTCCCACAGCTCTCTCCATCTCTTCCATCTTCATTTGTTCCCGCGGTCTTACTCATGTCTTACCCTGCTCGGTACACCTCCCCATCTTCTTCTCCCTCTCTCCCTCCATCAATCCATCCCTCCACCCATGCTCGCGCGCACATGAACAGGACGTGGATGAGAAGGTGCTATACGACACCTTCAGTGCCTTCGGTGTCATCGTCACCAACCCCAAGGTGCGACCCCCGAACCCCAAGGTGGGCCTTCCATTTGAAATGTGCCACCCAACCGTTAGGTATTCACCTGACCTCATGTTGATTCAACACGTCGTGTGTGTTTGCTCTATCCCTCACCCTCCAAGTCACTTCATGCCTTTTTCTGCTGCTTCAGAGAGGGCTGATGCAGCCGCTTTCCTTAATGTCTACTGTCGCATGGCATGGCATGGCATGGCATGGCATGGCATGGCATGGCATGGCATGGCATGGCATGGCATGGCATGGCATGGCATGGCATGGTATGGCATGGCACATGGAATGGCATGGCATGGCATGGCATGGTATGGCATGGCACATGGAATGGCATGGCATGGCATGGTATGGCATGCCACATGGAATGGCATGGCATGGTGGGAGGGCAGATCATGAGGGATACGGAGAGTGGCAACTCCAAGGGCTTTGGGTTCATCAGCTACGATTCATTTGAGGCGTCTGATGCTGCCATTGAGGTACCTCGCACATGCTGCCATCGAGGTACCTCGCACATGCTGCCATCGAGGTACCTCGCACATGCTGCCATCAACGTGTTGCGCCTTGCTTTCCATAGGTTTGTCTATTAGAATATAGGATGGTACAGATCTATGAGTCTAATGTTCGACTTGTTCTGGTTGCTGCCATGCGTGCAGGCAATGAACGGGCAGTACCTGTGCAACAGGGCCATCTCGGTGTCGTATGCCTTCAAGAAGGACACCAAGGGGGAAAGACACGGCACCCCTGCAGGTGATTTCCCTCCTGTGCCTGCTCATTGCTTTCCTTTTGCCTGCTGATTGCTCTGCTTGTGCCTGCTGATTTCTCTGCTTATTGGTGCTATGTCTGGTTTGCAATTGGTTTGAGTGCAGTAAATCTGTGTCCGTGTTTACGAGTGATGCATTTCTGAGAATTTGTCATATTTGATTCGCTCTTTTCATTGAGGACAGGCTTCTTTTTGGCTTTCACACTCTCTATATACCTTTCTCAACCATTTTCCCTCTCCATTTTTTTCTGCTCCGCTTGTCACCTCCCTCTCTCCCCCCATCAGAGCGACTGCTGGCAGCCAACAACCCGTCCACCACGCGCCATCGCCCCCACACCATGTTTGCTGCCGCTCCCCCCTCCGCCCCCCCTCCTCCCCCCCCCTCTCGCCCACCTCCACCTTCCGTCCCCCCTGCTGCTGGCGCCCCTCCCCCTCCTCGCCCATACACCTCTCCCGCTCCCCCTGCCCCCCCGCCTGCACCTTCCCCTTACCGCCCCCCTCCTCCCCCATCCTATGGCGGTGCAGGCGCGTCCCCTGCTCCCCCTTACTACCCCCCTCCCCAGATGCGCCCTCCACCTCCGTCCCAACAGTACCCCCCCCACCAGATGCCACCTCCTCCTCCCCAGCACTGGCAGCAGAACCAGCCCCCGCCCCCTCCCCAGCACTATGCCCCCCCGCCTCGCATGCCCCCCCCTCCCCACCATGGCGGAGCACCAGGGGGGGGCTATGGTCCCCCGCCCCCCCATGGGGGAGCACCAGGAAGGGGCTATCCCCCCCCTCCCTCCCATGGGGGAGCACCGGGGGGAGGATATCCCCCCCCTCCCCCTCAGGGCGGAGCACCAAGGGGGGGCTACCCTCCCCCTCCCCGCTACCCCACTCCTGGCGGCCCTCCCCCCTCCTATCCCCCGCCTGGCCAGGGTTACGCCATGCCTCCTCCTCCCCCTCAGCCCCACCAAGGGGGGTGGCGGCCGGGGCAACCTCCCCCTCCCCCTGCGCCTGGTGCAGGGGGGGCAGGTGGGGGTGGGCCAGGGCCAAACGTGGCTGTTCCTCCTCCGCCCCGACCACCCATGGGGGGAGCTCCTCCTGGGGCAAGTGTGCTTGGGGCCGCCCCGGGGACATAATCGTGAAAGCTGGCGTAACAGTCTCTGTGGTTTTGTTCTTCCCAGGCTTGGACAGGTGTATGGAGATTTTAGGAGTGACAATCTAGAAACAAATGTTCTGCTTGTGGTTTTTATTAACAGGCGCTACAAAGCTTGTATTAGTGTTCTAACTTGTGTTTTACTTGGCTTGCAAGTGCATGCCACGCAGCTTGACTGCCACTTGTTGAGCATTTTGTTGTTCATGTGCCCTAACCATAGACTAGATTCAAATATCTTCTCGCATCCAACAGAGCAATGCACTTTTCTAGGTCGAGAGAATCTCAAGAAAATCTGATGTGTACCGAATGAAACGTCGCACCAGGTGTCGGTGCGAACTTCGTTGTCTCGCGACAAGGTTTTCCCGATCAGGCTTGTGGTTTTCGTAACTGAAAAGGACTGGGCGAGTGGCTGTCGCGGGGTGACATGGTCCCACAGTTTTTCGCCAGAAGGCCAACTGGTGCTCGGAAAACGTGAACGACTCTCGTATGGCTGGTTACATTCGTCTCAGATATTTCGCTAAAGTAACCTCCGCGCAACACCCCTCGATGCTTCCACCAGCTTCTCCCCTCACTCCATCCACGAGTCCACCATCCAGCCGCCATGTCCACCCCAGTCGCCACGTGAGTCCACAGTAGTAACTGCCTCCATGAATCTGCCTTCTGCTCTCCCCATCTACACTAACACTCTTTGTGCAATTTAGCGTTTGCGCGGCGCGACCGCACTCTTCACTAACACCACCATGGAGCCGACCTTTGTGTGTTCGTGCTCTCAGTGTCTTGTTTCCCACCATCCCACTTCCATAAGTAGCCTTCATGCAATCACCACATTCAGCCGTCCTCTGGCTTCTCAGCGTCGTGAATCTCGATTCAACCGTCCCTACGTGCTCTTCCTCTCAACATCACCGCATCGCCGTTCATGGCCCACGTTCAATGCCTTCCCGTCTCCCTCCCACCTTCGCGAATACCGCATTCCGCCACGTGTCCTCCGGAAATGACGTTCCTTTCAGACCTAGATTCGTCGGAGTTAGTACCACCGGAGTTCCTGTGTCCGCTATCAGGCGCCATCATGCGCGACCCGGTCATCGCGCCCACCGGCCAGTCGTACGATCGCGCAAGCCTTGACCACTTTCGCGCGCGCGGCGGCCGCTTCTGCCCCAAGACGGGGGCGTTGCTCGCGGACTGCGCGCTCATTTCCAACGACGCGCTCCGCCAGCTCATCGCCGCCTGGTGCCTCTCCCACGCCACGCGCGTCCCTTCCCCTCCTTCTCCCCCTCCTCCGCTTATCTCCGCGTCGCCCCTCGGCGCCTCTCCCGCCGTCCTCCCCGTGCGCTCAGCGCCAGCCGTCATCAACGGGCTCGCCTCTCCCCCTGACTGCGCGCCCTCCTCGCCGCTGCGCTCGCCCCTTTCTCCGCTGCAGCGCCGTTATTCCTTTCAACCAAGCCGCAGCGCCTCCGCTTGCAGGGGGCACGGGGACGAACAGCCGGCGTCAGACGCGGCGAGCTTGGCGATTCCGCGGCACGTGATGGGCGCGGGCAGCAGCGGCAGGTCGCTGTGTCGCACCATCTCGCCTCTCTCCGAGACCGCGTCGCTCGACTGGGCCGCCGCCAGCAGCGCCGCCAGCAGCCCCTCCACGCCCCTCCGCGCCTCCCGCCACCGCCACAACCACCAGCTCGCCGCCACGTCACAGGACGACGCAAATGACGTGGCGCTCAACTCGTACCTCTCCGCTAGCGCATCGTTCTCGCGCCTGCAGCAGTCGAATCCCAACTCGCCACGTGGCAGTCGCCGCCGCAGCAAGGACACGCCTGTGCGAGAGATGCGGCCATTCGTGGACGCACTGCAGGATGCTGACGTGGCAGTGAGGCGGGTCGCCGCGGAGGCCATCCACGTGGCAGTGAAGGAGGGGGAGGAGAACCGCACGCGGGTGGTGCAGGCGGGCGGCGTGGCGCCGCTGCTGGCGGCGGCGGGATGCGAGGACCAGGGCACGGCACAGCGCGCATGTGCTGCCCTGCTGTACGTGTCACTGGAACGTGAAGGGGCGAGGGAGGTGGTGGCGCGTGGAGGCATCCCCATTCTGGTAGATGTGCTGCGGCCGGCAGGAGAGGTGGGTGGGCAGGGCGAGGCGGCTGAAGCCACCAGGGCCAACGCAGCCGCGGCGCTCTTCACTCTCTCGTCCACCAAGGAGGAGCGCAAGCGCCTTGTGTGCTCTGCTGGTGCCGTGCCGCACCTCGTGCACCTCGTGCAGACGGCACACACGCCTCGAGCGCTCAAGGACGGGTGCCTGGCGCTGTACGGGCTGGTGGGGTTGCAGCAGGCGGCAGAGCAGGCAGTGGCGCTGGGAGTGGCGGCGACGGCAGTGGGGCTGCTGGAGAGGCACGGCGAGGGCGTGGAGGAGAAGGCAGTGTCGCTGCTGGCCGTACTGGCTCGCTCTGACATGGGTGTGGCAGCCATTGCGGACGATGAGGATGCGGTGTGCGCGCTGGTGGATGTGATGGAAGGCAGCTCGCAGCATGCTGCTGACAAAGCAGCGTGCACTCTGCTGGCCATGGCACGGCATGGAGGGGATGCCATGGCTCGGAGAATAATGGCCGAGGGGTGCCTCCCTCCACTGGCCAAGCTTGCAGCAAAAAGTCAGGCAAGCTCTGATTCCCGTGCTCTGTTGGACATTCTTAGGAATGTGGGGCAATGCAAGAAGTAGATTGTCATACCCGCTGACAAGTGGGAGTAGAAGCTTCGAACTAGGAGGTGCTGTGTTGATCACTCAGGTAAAATGGATTCATATACATTTTTTTTTTCTCTCGGCACTCGGCCTCAATGAATAATTAATTACCTATTTGAATCATATTGGGCACGCGGTACAATGGTTAACACAGGTAAAGAAAGCATACGGTTGTAGGAAGGGCATTTACCATGCCTTGACTCATCCAGCTGCCCAGAGTCATGTTTATTTCTCTCCCAGATCCGCCCGCCCGCCCAGAGCATGATTCAGCCTTGAATAATGGCAGGCCCTCAGATCTTGACCCCTTTTCATGATGATTCAGTGAGTTATCGAACTATCAGTTACATGATTCAGTGGTAGTAAGGTTTTTGCCATTTTATTTAAACTGGAGGTTATATTGTCTGGAAGGTGGAGGTGGTGTTCTTTTTCTACCTAAACTCCTAGCACATAATTCAGATGTACAGCGTAACAATGACCCCACAAATTCAAGCCTTTGCGAGATTAGTCGGATTCGCTACTGCTGGATTGTCTCGCGCACGAGCCTCGTTACCACGCAACACCGCTCTTTCCCACTTTTTCAGATTTTCGTATCGCAAGGCAAGGTTACCCGTCGGCCCCTTTGGAGCAGCATCCGCCGCCCGCCGTACAAGTTGCACCTCACATGCACCCTCGAGACCTTCCTGCAAACACCAAGGCAGTTGACCTAACCTAATCCACCCTACACACGTTTGTCTCACCCTCCTAACTAACAGCGTCTAGTCTAGACAGGCGATCGTTAGGTCAAGACTGCATCGTCAAATACCTTTTTGTATTTATTGACTCGTCACGACACTAGTTTGCGCTTTTCTGCGTTACGTTCCTAAACCACGACTACTTTCAAGTTTGGCACAGCAGGCGATCCCGGCGCGCATGTCGCCGCTCGATCATGCCGCCTTTCCAACGAGCCGTTACCCTCTGCGCGGAGCCAGGTAACGCCGCCAGCGATGCCCAACGCGACGTACCGCTTGAGGCAGCCGACGCGGTACGGCAAGCAGCCGGCAGTACCCTCGGAGTTCGTGTGTCCGCTGTCGCTGCAGCTGCTCACCGACCCGGTCATCACGGCGTCGGGCCTCACCTTCGAACGCGCCGTCATCCAGAAATGGTACCGCGACGGCAACCGCATATGCCCCGTTACCGGATCGCGTCTAGACCATTACCGGCTGTTTCCGAACCAGGCGGTTCGGCAGCTTATCACGCAGTGGTGCGACGCGAATGCCGTGCCGTACGCACCGGGCGTGCTGTGCGTGCGCGTGGACCCGCAGGGGCAGCAGGGGACGGGTAGCTTCAGGGAGCGCTCTTCCCAGTCGCGCCACGGCGGTCAGTCCTTAGCAGGCTCGGGCAATGGCAGCTCTGGGAGGCAGCCGCTTGCGAACGGCGTATATCAGCAGCAGCAGCAGCAGCAACAGCAGCAGCAACAGCAACAGCAGCAGCAGCAGTCTCGGTTGCAACAACAACAGCAACTCCGCCAATTCCGCGCGCAAGAGGCGGAGCTGCTTTCTCCGCGTAGCGGGCGCGATAGCAACCACAGCTCCCCGGGCGCACACTCCGCGTGTGCCGGTCTCCCGCCCCCAGGGCCCTCCTCCAATCTCTCTCAGCGCCCCTTCACTCCCCCCGGCACTCCGCCCAAAAGCCCACGCTCTGCAGCCCCTTTTTCCACTCTTCCCGGCGCCTTTCAGCGCCCGCGGACTCCCCCATCGGGGGCGGACGACCGACCGTTCTCCCCTGCTGGCGGGGAAAGTGTTCCGCGCAACCACCCTTCCGCGTCCCTTGCCGTTTCAAGATCGGTGTCGAGCGGGGGATCCGTGCAGCGCATCGCGTCGGGGAATGGCGCACAGGCGGTGCGGGGATCCCCCGCTGGCGCAATGGTTCCGCGCACAGCCTCAGGGGGAGGGGCAGTGCTGCGAGTGGTGTTGGGCGGGGGGGTGCCACGCGTTTCTTCAGCTGACAGTCCCCGCGCGCGCATTTCCTCCGCGGAGCGGATAGGTTCCAGTCCCCTGTCTGGGGACGAGCTGGGGGGAGCAGGCGCGCGGAGACAAGCAGGCGCGCCTCCCAATGGCGCAGGGCCTCCGCAGCGGCGGCAGGCGGCGGGGCCGAGACATAGGGGGAGCCAGTCGCAGGTTCTGCGGGTGCTGGGGCAGGACGGCGCGGGGGATAGCGGCTCCTCGGGTCTTGCGCGCTCGCACTCGCTGCAACCCAAGGCGGACGATATCGAATCGCTCCTTAACGCGTTAGAGGACGACGAATCGGACGGCTACGAGTCGGGTCAATCCGACGCGCTCTGGCGTTCCAACGAGCCGCTCCCAGTGCCCCGCGTCGCCAGCCTGGGGGGGAGGGGGGCTGCGCGGGGTCCTGGCGCGGGGAGGGGGGGAACTGGAGCGGGCAGGGGAGGGCGGGGAGGGAGAGGGTCGATGGCGGATGGAGTAGGGCGGTCGGACAGCTTAGAGCGCGGAATGATGCGCGCGAAGCAGCAGGGCCACGCGGGCGCACACGCGGACGGGTCGCTCCGTCTGCTCAACGGCCGCAACGGCATTCCGTCAGGAAAGCGACCCGTGCAGGGGGGTAGCGGCGATGGGGGGAACGCGGAGAGCGGGTTGCGGCGCACGTCGTCGCTGCAGTCGCAGGGGCTGCTGTCGGCGAGTCTGGGCAGTCTGGGCCTCGACGCCACGCGCGACTCCTTCCGCGGCGCCGTCGACGACCTCGTGCCGCGCAGATCCGCGGGCGCGGGGGCGCGTGGGGAGGTGGCGCAGTCGCGGTTCGCGGGGGAGAGTGGCGGGGAGTCGTCGTCGGAGAGGGAGGCGCGGAGGGGCGCGCCTGGCCGGCCGGGGGGCGGCATCCCGCCCGGCGCTAGGCTGCTGGCGGCGGGGCGCGCGAGCCAGTCGTTCCGCGACCGCGCGAGCAGCGACGGCAGCGACAGCGAGCTCAAGGCGGCGCTGCTCGGCGCCATCCGCAGCTCCAGCGCCGGCAGCCCCGCCGACGCGCCCATGGGGGGCGGGGGGGGCGGGGCTGTCGCGGGAGGTGGTGTGGGCGGAGGGGGAGGCGGTGCAGGGGGTGCGGTGGCGAGCGGGCGGGCGAACGCGCTGCGCAACATGGGCGCGGCGGGCATGCGGTCTGCGTCGTTCCGCATGGGGCGAGAGCTCTCCATCGACGTCAGCAGGGGCGCCCCTGCCACGGCGGGCGCGGGGGGCGGGGGCGCGGGAGGAGGGGGCGCGGGAGCTGGGGGCCCGAGGCTGACGGCGTCAGGCAGCCTGCGGAGCCCCGTGGGGTCATCCTCCATGCGCGTGTCGCGCGACGGCGCCATGGGCGCCAGAGCCGCCGCCATTGACGCCGCCCTGCGCGCCGCTGCTCTGCCGCGCAGCCCTGCTGGGCGCTCCTCGTCGTCACTTCCGCCCATCCGCGACAGCAGCAGCAGCGGCGCAGCATCAGGGGAGTTGGGATGGGGTGCGCCTGGGGTTCCGCGCAGTCCGGGACGAGCAGCGCCCGCGGGCGGCAGGGAGGCGCCCATTCCGCGCGCGGGTAGCCGGGAGGCCGCCATGCACCACAGCGGCCCCCCTCTGGGGGACAGCCCCGCCAACGGCCACACTGCTCCCCCCTCCTCTGCGCGCCACCCCCCTCCGCCGCTCGCCCTGCGCCGCGACCTGTCCATGGACACCTGGGCGCTCTCCTCGCACCTCCCCGCCTCCGCGCCCCCCGCCGCCGCGCCCCTCTCCCCCATCCACTCGTCCGGGCCCCTCTCCCCCATGCACGCATCCGGCCCGCCCTCCCCCCGCCTCTCCTCCACACCCCTCTCCCCGCGCGCCTCCACGGGTCCGCGCAGCCCCGTGGGCGCGGGCGCGAGGGGCTTGGGGGGCCCGGGGGGCCCGCCGCGGTGGCGGCGGGACAGCAGCGTGGAGAGCAGCGGTGATGCTGGCAGCGGCAGCGAGGGGCGCGAGCAGGGCGCGGGCATGGGCGGGGGAGGCGGGGGGGGCGCGGGGGGAAGGAGTCCGCCAATGCTGCAGCGCAGCCTGGGGCGGCGAGTGGCGGAGGAGGGCGCGCTGCTGCGCTCAGGGTCCATTCAGAGCGTGCAGTCCGTGGGGCATGCGGGCGCGGGGGGGCAGCACAGGCACGCGCAGGGGCAGGCGCATGAGAGCATGGGCGCGAGTGACACGGACGACCCGTTCCTCTCCGCCCTCTCTAGCGTTCGGCGCGAGCAGCAGTTGTGGGGCGAGGGGGGAATGAGCGGGGGAGAGGAGGGTGGGGCGGGGGGGCAGATGGGCGCGGCAAGGGGGAGGGGCCAGCAGAGGGGGGCGTCGAGCTTGGCGCAGTCGGAGGGGGAGGGGCGCGGGGGGAGCGACTGGGAGAGCGATGGGTCGTCCGTGCGCCACAGGAGGGCAGCAGGGGCAGCGGCGGGAGGGTCACGACTAGGTAACAGGGAGGCAGGGGGAGGAGCAGGGGCGGGCACGAGTTCAGGGCGCAACCTGGGAGGGGCGGGGCAGGGGAGGCGGCAGCTGCAGCGGGGGTCGTCACAGACGGACAATCGGGGGCTGGGCCGGGCGGCACACAGGGCGCTGCACACCACACCGCTCGACCCCACAGGGCCGCCCTCAGGCATGCCCCTTTCGGGCGGCGCGCAGGGGCTGCGGCGCGCGTCCTCATTGGCTGTGGTGGGCGGCAGCGGGCGGCAGCAGGGGATGGAGGGAATGGAGGGGATGGAGGGGATGGACGGTTCAGAGGGGTTCCACGAGGTGGTGAGAGAGATGAAGGCAGAGGGTGGGCGGGTGGGAGGAGGTGTGCGGCGCGGGGAAGCAGCAGCGCCGGAGCTGTCAGCATCGCACCGCAGAGTGGCGTCGCTGGCAGTGCAGAGCCGCAGCAGCAGCAGCAGCAGCATCGCCCTGGGAGGGGGTGGTCCCATGGGCAGCTCAGGAGAGGGCCGTGCCGTGTCCCGGCGCCTCAGCGGTGGCAGCGGTGGCGGGCTGTCCTCCCGACGCTCCGACTACTCCCTGCCTCCTGATGCGTCCGCTCTGCTGGACGAGCTCGATGGGTCGGATGGTAGTGAGGGGGATGTGGGGGATGTGGGGAACATGGGGGACCGGCGGGTGCATGGGCATGGGGGGTACGAGGCCATGCAGGGGAATGGCGGCAGTGGTCACATGCCACCGCATCAACTGCAGCAGCATGCGCAGCAGCAACAGCAGCAGCAGCAGCAGCAGGGGCAGGGACATGGGCATGGGCATGGGCATGGGCATGGGCAGGGGCATGGGCATGAGCATGAGCATCAGGAGGAGGCACCACAGCCACGAGTGGGCAGGGTGGGCGGCACCTTTGCCTGGCTGCGAGAGGCCCTCCGCAGCCCCCTCAAGAGCCCCAAACCCGCTGCCCCTGCCCCCACCGCCCCCGCCCCCCACTCCGCCCAATCCATCCCGTTGAGTCCCCGTTCCGCCCAACCCCCCCTGCCCGCGTGGGGCGCGGGGGTGCGCCCGTCCACCCCCCCTCAGGGCGCGGCATACGGCAAGAGCGCCAGTGTTGAGACGTCTCAAAAGGCGTACGGCAAGAGCGCCACTGTGCCCGCGCCTGAGCGCCGCAGCCTGTGGGGGGAGGCCAGGCGCGCCGTGGGGCTGGGGGAGGGCGGAGGGGGCGACGGGGGGAAGGGGGAGGAGGTGTTCCGGCGGTCGTCGTCTGATCATGGCGAGCAGGACGCGGTGGCCGCCATGCAGTGGGCGCAGGGGGAGCGGGGGGAGCGGGGGGAGGAGGCTGACGGGAGGGTGGATGGGGGGCGCAGTGGAGGGGGTGCGAGAGGCGGGCAGGGGGTGCGGGGGCCGCAGGGAAGAGGGGTGGCGGCGGGGGGGAGGGAGGTGGGCGAGGGGAGAAGTGGGAGTCAGGGCAGCAGTGGGCACGAGGGGATGAGGGATGGGGGAAGGGGAGCAGGTGGACGGGGGTTGGGGGGAGGCGCAGGCAGAGGAGGGGGGCGAGGCGGGGAGGGGGGTGCAGACGGGGGAGGAGGGGGTGGGCGGGGGCAGGGATGGGCCAAGGTGCGTGCCGTGTTCCCCCTGCATGGGGAGGGCGCAGGGCGGGGGGCTGGAGGGAGAGGGCCGGGCAGAGGGATGGGCGATGGGGGAAGAGGAGGTTCTGGGAGAGGAGACGGGGGAAGGGGAACCGGGGGAAGAGGAGGAGCAGGAGCAGGGCCGGGAGTAAGACAGGGCGGTGCAGGGGGGCCGGGAGGGGGAAGAGAGGGTGGGGACTCGGGTCGGCTGTCCCTAGAGCGCACGTCATCACTGTCCTCCAACCACCACGCCGTAGCCGCAGCCGATTCCCACAGGGACGTCGACGGCTCCTCAGCCCATCCCCTCTCCTCGCTGGCAGCAGCAGCAGCGGCATCGCCCCCGGACATGGTGACGTTGGTGCGGGCGGTGGCGCATGGGGGGGAGGCGGATCGCATGGAGGCAGTGGCGGCCATCAGGGCGCTGGTCAAGGGCAGCCGCGACAACAAGTCACGCCTCATTGCCGCAGGGGGCGTGCCCGCGCTTGTGCGTGTGCTGCGCCATGCGCACCCCGCCATCAAGGAGCATGCGGTTACCGCCATTCTGAACCTCTCCCTCGTGCCCGGTGCACCCGCTATTATCGCCTCGGTGGGTGGGATCGACGCCGTGGCGGGCGTGCTGCAGTCGGGCTCGCAGGTGGCCCGGGAGAACGCCGCAGCGGCGCTCTTTGCCCTCTCAGTGGACGACGGCAACCAGTGTCTGGTGCGGCGGGCAGGGGCGGTGCTGCCACTGGTGGACGTGCTGCGTTCAGGCAGCACGCGCGGGCGCAAGGACGCTGCTCTCGTGCTCTTCAACCTCTCGCGTGACCAGCGCAGCCGTGCTGAGATCGTGGCGGCGGGGGCGGTGGCGGTGCTGGTGGGCATGCTGGGCAGCGAGGAGGGAGGGCTGGAGGAGAAGGCCATGGCAGTGCTGGCGAACCTGTGCCGCATGCCCGAGGGCTGTGATGATGTGCTAGACCTGCCGGGAGCCATCCCCACGCTGGTGCGCGTGGTGGCGCAGGGGTCACAGCGCGCCAAGGAGGACGCGGTGATGACGCTGCTGATGCTGGCGAATAGTGAGCCGGCGAGCTGCCATGCGATGCTGGCGGAGAGCATGGTGCCGGCGCTGCAGCAGGTGGCGCAGACGGGGTCCCAGCGCTCCAAGGGCAAGGCCAGGGCGCTGCTGGACCTGCTCAGGAGCCAGGCGCAGCGCGGCAGAGGGGGGGCAGACAGGTGACCAGGGGAGGCGCCTCGCACTGCCACCTGCTGTGGTGCAAGCAGGCCGGGAGGGGTGGAGCAGGCCGGAAGGGGTGGATGGAGGCGGTGGCGCAAGGGGGATGGGGGAGATGGGGGGTGTGAACGTGGCGTTGGGGGCTGGGGATGGGTGTAACTAGGGAGAAAGTGTGCGGGGTGTGAGGCGAAGAGGAGAGTCATGGTGAAAATGGAAGGGTGGCAGCAGAAGGTGTGAGATATTATGATGATGGGTGTTAGCCGCCAGGAGGATGCCTTGACCCGCTAACATGAGCACCACTTCACGGCTCTAATAAGCCCCTGTATGGGTGCGTGGGTAGGTAGGTGCATGGCATGATGAGGTGGGCATGAACCCACGCATCCATCCCTGACTACAGGTGCTGTACATGCGCTGCCTGTTGAGGGATTTGTAAGCTGGAGCCTTCAGAGGCTCCTCAAAACACGCTCATACGCGTGCATTGTAAGTTCGTAGGCCAGAATAGACTGTACTGTTACCACTAATTTGGTAGTCCAAAAAGTTACTTGTCAATCGATATTCATGAGCATCAGTGTGGTAGGCTTCATTGATCTCCACAAATGTATTGCTGTTGCTGTGCACAGAGATGAGAACTCCACGATGGATTAGGGCATTAGATATTCGTAGACCATAAATGCATTACGTTATGCCTACGTGTTATATTTTCCCGTATATTCACAGTGCTGCACACCTGGTTACCATGACCCATCTTTGTCCTTTCACGCGTTTTTATTTTCACGCGTGCTGTACTGTGCGACACAATGAATTGCTGCTTTACACATTCCAACCTGTGTTGTAATCTGACAAAAGGACAATTCAGCCCCAATTCAGCCCCCTCTCTCGAGCTGACGACGCCGGCTACAGTAGTTCCAGAAGCTCCCTTTTCCCTGATGGTGTCGCTTTTTGTTGTAATGTACAACTGCCACGAGCACTTTATTACGGTGAGGTGCGATGTTGTGTGTGGCAAAGTGGCCCGAGCACACTGAACGGAGGTTGAGTGCGGTTTTTAACAAAAGAAATTGATTTGACGTTCCCTTCTGCGTTGAGGAGATGAAGCGCCAACGCAATAACAGTGACGAAGCTTTGGTGATGATTCATCTCAGTTTGTGTATTGACTTACGCAGGTTACATTCGGGTACGTAAGGTGGGAGTTCCTTCATACACCCCTGATTATGGGCGCACATGTTCAATAATTCCCCACCCCACGCTCCTCGGTGATGGGCCGGCTCTGGGTGTCAATCTCAACCAAATCAGCTCGTCGGTCTTACGACTGATGTGGAGGAACTTCAAGTCTGTAAACTCTACAATATCAATGGTATTCCAGTATGTACACCTCCTTACCCAACCGCCGTCGGAAGTGAAGCACCAATTTGACAGCTGGAATATCCACTGTTCAATCGAACGTGAACGAGGCAGCTGCTGCAGATCCATCGCTCGTGTCTTTCTGTACAGATTCAAGCACATTGGTGTTCATTACACCAGTTGGATACTATTGATATTCACGGTTGTCCATGCCGCAAACTGGTCAAACTGAGTCGTGTACCCTGGCCAGTAACCTGGCTTCAAATTGCATTGCTGGCCCAAATTCTGTCCCGTCAGCATGGATTGCCAGGAGGGCGGCGTCATGTGGTGAATAGTGGAGATAGTGGACCTTCAATGCGGTCCGGCCAGATGCGGTGCGTGCGAGCAGTGGTAATGTTGCGGGTAAATCTGGTGTGGCGAGGCATGACGAGGGCGTTTGACAGGTTGCATCGAATGTGATCGGAGCAGTTGAAGTGGCGCGCTTGCTGTTCCCCGCTTGCCGCCATCGGGGGAGGAGGGAGGGGAGGGAGCAGCAGATGCAAAACGCTTTTCCTTCACAAAAGCATCTCCACCAAGCAATTCGTTGTTCATTGTGATAGGACCTCATGCTTGCTCTTGGTTTAGGATGACAGGGCGTATGGAGGCTCTTGGGTTGAAGATATGCACGCGCTTACTTTTCGCGAGAGCCCATCTTGGCGCGTGTTTATCCTCGAATCCTTGGTTTATATCCCAGCGTCATAGCCCCGTTTCTGTTTATAGCTCTAAGCTTTTCAACACAGGTGAAGGCTTGCGTCTGCACACTGCGATTCTTGGGACTTACCTTGCAAAACGACCGTCGTCACGTTGAAGACCGCAGCCGCTGCAATGGCTGCCGTAGGAATCATTCAAAAAGAAAAAGCCCCTTCCGACGCTCTAACCAACCTCAAAGGCGACAGTCGCACTCTGTGCGATGCGTCTCATAAACCGTCGAACTTCCCAATTCCCCGCGTTCGCAGCCGTGTCGAGGACGTCGAGGTCCACGCGCTGGAGTGCCGCTTAGAGCTGCTGAACACGCAACGCGAGCTCACCGCCATGCGATGCCAGCAGTTCATCCGATCGCTGCACGACTCGTTCGAGGAGGCGGCTGCGGCCAACGCGCAAACCCCATCCGCCGATGTTTCTGCTTTCAACTGCAACGCAACAGTCACTGAGAGGAGATTGGGCGCCGCTGAGCGCCCATCCCCGCGCGTCGACCATTGCTCCAAGAACGCGTTGAACGGCGCTTCGTGCTCCGCGATGGAGAGTAATTGGGAATCAGAGAGCACTTGCTCATCGACTGAGGACAATTCGGACGACGAGTTCGAGCGCGCCAATCGACGCGCCTTGGCGTCGCTATCGTCCTCGCGAAGTCTCCACTCCGGTGCCACGTCATCATCTTCGTCCTTCCCCGGCAGAAACCATAGCGTCCGATTCGCGTTCGCTAAGCCGCTCTGCGAGTCGTTAGACCGCCGCGGCGAGAGCGGGCATTGCATTGTAACCCCGTCTGTGCGAAGCCGGTCAGCCCGGTGGATGGAAAGCGCGGCAATGCCAGGGGAAAATCGTCCTGATGGCGGTTTGGAGTCTGAAACTGCCTCACCTGGCGTTGCTGTTGGGCGCTGCCAGTCCGCGCGATGGGCGGAAGACCTTCGGTTTTACGACAACCCTCTTCCTCGTCGCCGGTGGACTTCGCTAGCATCTTCGCCGTGCGAATCATCTCACACACATCGCACGCTTCGCTCATGTAACACGTCGCCCAGCCCCCATCTGGATAAGTTCAATGTACCTCGGCCTCGGAACTCAAGCAAGAGATTACACCAACGTACAAGCTTACAATTTCCTGAAGGTAGCAGCAAGTTTAGTCAATTTAGGTTTACGTAAGCTGCTTCATTCACATTCGTAAGTTTATTAGATTTACTATGCTCTGCCATACACAGTTTCGTGGTGATGTGCAAGGCAGTGTCAATAACCACATCAGAAGCAATGCGTTCTTCCCTTACCATAATTTCCACTCTTGCAGTTCAAACGTGTTCCCCATGCACTCTTCTACTCAGTACATACATGCATTTTTTTAACTTCATTTTTTTATTTGCTTAGCGGGATTGACTTCCAGCAGATTTCATGCTGAGACTCTTGATTTTTTATTTTAAAAAAGCACGCAAACACACAAGAGTAGCCGAGACTCATGTTTTCTGGTTACGAAACACAGAACACACGAGTAAGACTCCCTCTTCTGGTTCAGAAAACGCAGGGAACGCACAAGAGTCGTTGAGACTCATGTTCGATGTTTTTTGCAGGGTTCCGTGAAAAGCGCTTACCAGACGCACAAGTTCGTTATAAGGTTCGCCCATTCGTGACGCTTGTAACATAGTCGCAGTAAATCGCGGCGCAGCATGGAAACATGATGACAGGCATAGCTACCGCGTAAGCCGATGTGCGCGCAACCTCGCGCACCCTCGCGTAACCTCGCGCAACCTCGAGATAAGCCGAGGTAGGCTTCGGTGACGCTCGCGTCACGGTGATGTAAGCCCCCCTTGCTCATCGCCTACCTCGCACGTCTGCTGGTCGGCCCCCCATGCCCAAGGCTGGCATCGCATCTTGGAAGGATTGACCACGACGAACGAGCATCGGCGACTATCGCGGGCTGTGACAAGTGTATGCGTAAAACGGTTGTTTTCAGACGCGGATGATCTGTATATTTTAGAAGCTCAAACCTCTCTTGCCGAGTCAGGCCATGTCAGGTCGGAGTCATCCAGACAGTTCGTGTAATTCCGTCGAAGTGCTGTCGGAGCTGACTGGTTCTAAACGAAGAATGCCCAAGTGTGTTGGAGCATAGACTGCAGGTCGCCTCAAGCACCTACGGGGAGGGAGCAGCTTGGAAGGAACAGAGATGTAAGCAGCTGCGAGAGATTCGACGGTTCCTGGCCGGGGGATTCTGGCAATGGTGAGGTGACATGTGACCACCATGTGCTGCCAGCTAGCACAAGGGTAGGAGGGAATGGGGGCAAGGGGAGGGGAGGGAGGGAGAGCACGACTTTCGAGATCGCAATCGAGTGTGCCTATTGGGAGTCCTTTGCCTGCTTGGATTGGTTTCCTCCGCTGGCACCTAGGGGCTGGGAGGGATTTGTGGGTGGGAAATTGCTTGATTCGATAATTTCACGAAGTCTGTTGCAATGCAACCCGTAAGTCGGAAGCAGCTGTGCACATCAATAGGTTTGCCAAGCTGTGCACCCCGGTCCCTCGATATCTGAAAAAACTCTATTGTTGAGCCTGCGTTTGCGGTGTGAGGGAGATTTGAGAACGATAACTTAGAATTGATACCCATTTAAGTGTTCCGGGGCTGCAGTGAAACAAGCTTTTTGCATCCTTGATATTTTTTTGACTTTTAGCAACCTCACATTCAGGTTATGATGAGTGTGGTTGGTCTACCTATTTCCCGCCAAATGGTGACCAATAAGAACACTTCGCGCTCGTTTATCGTTGAGGGCATTTAATGTCGAACCTCACTACTAAACGTGCTTCAATGTAACACAGCTGGCGGCTTGAATGCGATCGTCTCCTCTAACGGGATCGTGAACCTGGCGCACTTCCTGATTCGTGAATCCCAACAGAAACCAACGTCCATGGTGCATGCGTGAGGGGAGCCAAGCCCA